TCAAACAGATCGCGTACCCCGAATCATTGAAAAACTTGATCCGATTGATGTTGATTAGATAAATCGTTGCATGTTTTTTCAACATCAATCGGATCAAGTTTTTCAATGATTCGGGGTACGCGATCTGTTTGAGAGCGAGTGATTGATCGTCGTTGACCTATTTGTATTGAGACACGACTACTATTTGCAGATGTATTTCTACTACGCTTTGAGATTTTACCACTCAAGACACTTTTCAAAACTGTGTAATTAGTTAGATTACTGCGAGTACTAACCGAACTCAGAGATACCATCGTTGCTTGTGAGTTTTCCATAATTTTTTACTGATCACTCAGGTGTTCACCGGTTCTTGTACAAAAATTTCTATACGTTTTTCCAATATAAAATTCTCCACAAATAGGGCATGTCGCTTTATAGACAAGACCAGATTGTAAAACAGTGGGAGTTTTATCTTTCGTACAGAACCCCTTGCCAAGTTTCGCCGTATCATATAACACTTTCACTTCCTTTAACCCTTTGAGGACAGGGTTACTGTACACAAAGCTGTGGTTATGAAAAAATGTTTTCGGCTATCGGACCTATACTTTTCGAGTTATAAAAATTTTAAAAACGGTTTGTTCAAGTACCCTAAAAAAGGCGACGACTTTGGTATTTTCGCTGTCATTTTTTATTTAAACTCTTCCGATCATATATCATTCGAAAGAGCATCGAAAGAGCAACGAAAACTAAACAAAATGGCTCATTATGTTTGTCTGAAGTTGGGAAACCGAAGTCAAAAGTTCAAAACTAGTAAGAAAGATCAAATTTTTGAAACGTGTACGAATAAAATCAAACGAATAAAATCGAAATTTTGAGCCGACTTGTGGTTTGACAGAAGCTTTCTACCTTGCGTCTTTTAGAAAAAAACAATTCTACACAAGACAGATCTGTTTTAGAAGTCTCCGAAGCGAGAATCGGGTCCGAATTTTGTGAAACACTCGTAGTTAGTAGAATGAGCAGTAGTTCTAAATTTTCTCGCTCCAGACTACCTTCTAAGAAAAACGAAATACATAGCTTTTACTTAGCAAAGAAAACCATGTTGATTGGTGTGTTTTCGAAAGTTTTCCGAAATGATTTTTCAGCTAACTTTCACCATTTTTTTGCTTTTTCATGCTAGTATGTACGAAGTTTTCGAGCAGGTTCCTATTGGCAAATCAATGGCATTTTACGTTGTTTTTTTCTCATTTAACATTTCTGTCACACGCCCACAAACCAAATACAAATATATTCGCGATTTTGCTTCATGTGATTAAGCACTACTCTACTCGATGTTAGAAGCCATACCTCTTCATATTTAAAAGAGACTTATGAAATGTTTTGCAATCATTTTAATTCTTGCTATTCGTCAGTTCCAAATACTTCCCTGTCTCTGGAACAGCATCTGACTTAGGGGACCATTAATTTCGGATATACTCGTCGACCTAACCGAGGTAGTGGAAGCTGTAGGGGCTATGAAAAACACCGCTGGCGTTGGAGTTGATGGTTTCTCGCCGAAGTTTATACAGTTAGGCGTACCAGTTCTCAGAAAACAATGAGTACACATATTTAGGCTTTCAATCTCAACAGGGATTTTTCCAGCTCATTGGAAAATAGCCAGTATAACACCAGTATATAAAAAAGAAGACTCATCGTTTATCGAAAATTATCGTCCAATTTCACTTCTATGCGTTGTAAGTAAGATCTTACAGAAGATTATTCATAAGCAGCTGTTATCCTTTATTCTCAACAATAGGTTGTGAAGCGCTATCCAGTTTGGATTTATACCGTCTTCTTCAACGTTAGATACTTTATTAACAGTTACTCGCTTTCTTTTTGGCAGTTTAAATAAGGCTAGCCCAGAAAAAGAGCATTACATAGGGTTAAGTTTCGATCTGTCAAAGGCGTTCGATCGTGTGTCGACCGACCTTCTTCTAAATAAGTCAGAACTACTTGATATCGATAGGAGTCTTCTTAATTGGTTTACATCTAGGGATGTTACCGCGGAATCCTTTAATCGCTCAGTAAGTTGTTGATATGCTTCTTGTTCCAGTTTTTCAACAATAGTTACAAGTTACAGGAATAAACTATTATTTACGTTATGTTGATGACACATGTTTATCAAAAAAAATTCGAATTCTTCGCCGGATAACTCACTTAACATTTCATTCTGACATAAGCCTTGCTTTCGGATTTTGGAATACTAAGGATAATATTTTACAAAACAAACGATTGATTGATGAAACCTCTTCTAGTTTTTGGTCTTGATACTAGATGTTAAAATTATCGTAAAATCTCTATTTACTGAAAGATGCATAACCCAAAGTGGAAGAGCTTTACTTTTGTCTTTATTTCATTTATATTAGATGTTAACAATAAAGCTGTATTAATGGAAAAGGTCCGTAGAATCGGTTTATGTGATTTGCCTTATACACTAAAATTGTTTATGTTTCTTCTCTCCCATTGTCCCAAATTAAGTGAATTATAGTTTTATGGTTATATCCGAATGAAAGATGTTTCGCGGGCGAACATCCACTACCACAGATGGAGAACGGTTTAAAATACAAATGGTAAAATTTTTTCGGAGACCGAAAAAGAGGTTTTAAATTTTTCCGCGTTTTCTAGTCGTATTTTTAACTTTCAATAAAACTTTTATTTTTCGAGAGATAAGCTTGAATTTTTCGTCCTTCGATAGATCACGCAGAAATGCATGTATAAAAACATTTTCATCGCTATCGGATATAGTTTGACGGAAAAGTGGTTGACGTATATGTATGAGGGAAAAAATATCTAAAACAATGTGCATACCTTAAGACAACCAAACGCGTGTGATATTCAGCTCTTTGAGGTAAGATTTTATGCGCATGAGTTTTTTGGGTACAAACCTCAAATACACGAGTCAAGACAGTCAAGCACATGACTTTCGAAAAATACGCGTTTTGCATGAATAAGAAATGTCTCCACGCCATGAGATTCTTACTCAAGAAATTCAGGAAAGCCAATGGTTTTGAATGGCATGGGCGGCATACATCGATTGATGAGTTGTTGGAAAGTGTGGATCAATCAATGCTGTACCACTGCTCGAATAAACTAAAAAAAATGTTCACAACTAAACCAAACATATCGTTGAAATATGTCGATTCATCACATTATATTATCACTCATAATAAATTTTAAATTAAATCAGCTTCAGCAAGTGTAAAGCCGCCACACGTTTTGGCCAAAAGATGGAAGATAAAATCAATGGAAACTCAATGTCAAGCAACATTGGTGAAGATAATCAAGAAGTGCATGAAACTGCTCATTCTTCATTGACAAAGTTCGACGCACTTTCATTTGAGAAAACTACATCTATTAAAAACTTTGTGTACTTTGTTTCAGTGAAGTACATCGTGAAACATAACTATGACAAACACATTTCTGATCATGTGTTAATTATAGCGCTCCGACTGGACAAGCTCATGTCTGTTTTACAGTTTTTGTCGTTCTATTGTTTCTTATTTATCATCGATTTCTTACGCATATACAAACAAAAATATCATCTGTTTTTTTCGTTCGTTTTCTTCCCTTGTTTTTTTCTTATCTGTTATCAAAGCAAAGTTATTGAGGCATGCATTCATACAAGTTCAAGCAAAAATAACATTTATCATTCACTTCAATATTAAGAAAACATATCTAAGTACAATAGCAGCGAGAAGAAAAAAATGTCGTTGTCTGAAAGTGAGTTACAAAACTATGTTGGGCGTAATAAAGATGAAGTTACACAAGAATTAGAAAATCAAGGTAAAGAAAAGTTTATTCGGCTTCTTATATACAGATGTTCACGTACATAGTGATTTTCTTTATGTTAGGCTACAAGGTACACGATGTTCGTATCGGGACTCACGCCACTGGATATGTACCAGCAGCACGAGCAGGCGATGCACCAGTAAAACGTGCAATTATTGTTTATGATGGTGATGACAGTGAGCAGCGCGTTACAAGTATAAGACAAACTGACTATTAACTTCAACTGAAATTTGATTTTATGTTTAAAACAGACACAAGAAGAAATAACCTAAATTTTCAATAGTTTGTTTGATGTAGTAGTTTTACCATGTACTTTAGTACAGTTTTATGAGTGGTTAGTTTGATTATTTTTAATAAATACTTATGCGTCTGATTATAGTTTAACGTCTTTCAAGTGAAAATACCTATGAAATCAAGGTGTACCTAATTTCAAATTTACTCACTATTTTACTTTTAAAACGCTTCGATCTGATGCGAAAAACATAGTTTGTAATTCTTTCTCATGCAAACGTTGATTGGCAGCAGTGTCAAAAAAAGTTTAACAGCGCGATATTTTTAGAACCTTTTCATTTCTTACTGTTTTAATTATAAAAATACAAAACAAATCCACGATCCGACGGATGGCTTAAACACGTCATTTCACCGAAGAAGCTTATACCTCAGTCGGTGCAATCGGATGACTCGGTGCGACGTCATTAGAACCCAATTTAGAGGTCACTAACTCAATATTTTAAAGTAATAAAAGAAGGAAAGTACTCTGTAAAACCGGCCTGAAAATCTTTATTTTTTTGAACGTTGACAGTTCCATTCGATTCCGTATGTGAAAGTGTCTACGTTCTATGAGCTAAAGATTTTCTGAAAATTATCCGCTGGCTCAGAAGAAAAGAGAAAGTAACATAAAAATTTGAGCACCTTTCTCCGCAGTGCAGCATCTCAGTATTTTCAATTTTAAAGATTGACCTTAAAAAGATAGCGAGAGTAAAGTGTTATATCATAGGAAAAATCATGATGAACAACTTCTACACTAACATTTTCGCTCCAAAATGCGTCTAATAATCTACATCTCGATGCGCTTTAGCGATTGGTTACAAAATCGAGGTTTCAAACCAAAAAGTAAAAATTTTATTTAAATTTTACATAAGGCTGAAAACATCAAAAATGTGTTCGAGAAAACTACCAGTTCGTAAACCTCTAAACTCTTTTCATATATGTTTTAAAATGTCCTCTACAATCTTGCCAAGGTTGAATCAAATCCAAATGGAAGGACTAACTGATTCAGAGTGTCGGGTTTCTATGATCCGGTTATTATTATCGGCGGTAAAATATAAGACAGGTTGTAATTTTTGAATAACTCAAAGACGGTGTAAGACAGAGATCTGCGGTTTTTCACAGTCGAAAGAGAACAGTTTATCCGATATTTTTCTGCAGAAACATTTTTTGAAAAAAATTTTCAAACTGGTTTTGCATAGGTTCTTTGGATTTCGCGATTTTCAATAAATCGTTAATTTAGAAATAAAAGTGTAACATACTAGAGTAATGCTAATTAGTATCAAGCAGCAGTAATTAGTTCCAGCGATTCCAAAAAGGGTATCTCGACATATAAATACCCTTTTTTTTGGTTTTGTAGGATAAGAAAATTTTTGAGTAACCTAGGTTAGTCCCTTAAACTTAATCGGTTTATAGTGACAGAGTTATGATAAAAACATTCATCTTATAAACACTTTTGGAGTGTAGTGTACGTACTCGACTGAGTATTTGTCTTTGTTATAGGTACAAGAATGAATGAAACAAAGATGAGAAAGTATTTGTGTAGCTGTTTTATTTTATGTTCTGTTTTCCCTAGCATTTTTCTTAATACAGACATACTTGCGTTTATATTGTATATAAGAGTGATTCTAGTGATTTTTGTACCGTTTTTAAAGAAAAAATGCCCCAAAAAATGAAAGTGACTAGAAAAATATTTTAACACTGTAGATGTATAGAGGCGCGCGTAATTCAAAGTTACCACGCATTTTTATTTTCGAGAGATAAGCTTGAATTTTTCGTCCTTCGATAGATCACGCAGAAATGCATGTATAAAAACATTTTCATCGCTATCGGATATAGTTTGACGGAAAAGTGGTTGACGTATATGTATGAGGGAAAAAATATCTAAAACAATGTGCATACCTTAAGACAACCAAACGCGTGTGATATTCAGCTCTTTGAGGTAAGATTTTATGCGCATGAGTTTTTTTGGGTACAAACCTCAAATACACGAGTCAAG